GCCTCTTCCGTGATGCCCACGTCCCAACCCACTATATATTGTATCCACCTTGTTCATTTTCACGAGAAAAAAGGGTCGGAAAATCACAGCGACACTCTGCGATTCGTGACAATGGCAACGATCAAGGTCATCAAGGCTCGCCAGATCTTCGACAGCCGTGGGAATCCAACCGTCGAAGTGAGCCTCGCTTTCTTCTCTCACTCCTTTTCCTTTTTCTGTTGAGAAAATCACACAAAAATGACTTCACCTTCTGTTCTCACTGTTGGATATGGTTTTTTTATTCTACTTTTGTTACGGAACTGATTTATGCGAACCTATGGTTTATCGTTTCTGTTTCGACATTGTTGAGAAAATGTGCGGGGAAAACGAGATGAAAATGAATTCACGTTCTGTTTTCAGTGTTGGATAGAAAGGTTTTTGTTCTACTTTTGTTTCGGAACTGGTTAATGTGGAGATGTGGCTTGTCGTTACTGAATGTGCGGGAAAATGAGAGATAAATTAATTCACGTTCTACATTTTTTTATGACGGAACTTGTTTATGCGAAGCTATAGTTTATCGATTCTGAATGTGGTTTGTTACTGTCACAGGTTGATGTTACTCTTAGCGATGGAATCTTCGCCAGAGCCGCTGTGCCTAGCGGTGCTTCAACAGGTGAATAATTCATCGTTGTTTGTACGAGAGAGAGAGAGAGAGAGAGAAGGAGACGTGTTTTTGTTTTCATTGTTGTATGAGTTATTGTTTGTGTTATTCTGCTTGATGTGTCATTATCATGCCTAGACTTGCTTAAAATATGTCTTTTGATATGAATGGGAATCGGTTCGGTTGTTTGTAGTTTAATATAGTTTATCTTGATATTGTGCTGTTAATCATTTTATTCTAGATTTTAATTTTCTCATGTTTATGGCAGTTATATTTTGTTGCTTCAGTTAAAGTTCTTAATCTTGGGTTAATTGGAAGAACCAACTAAGAAATTCAGGGGAACAACTCAATCAATATGTATTGAAGTTTCTGAAAATAAAAAAGAAACTGAAAGGGTAAAGTCATTGCACGTTTTAACATTGATGATTGAAGCATATCCATCAACAATTATTGTTTATCTAACTTGGTTGACTTTCAATTGCATTAGATTTAAGAGTCAAATTAATTGTTTTTTTTATTGCTTTCTCACTTGTTGTCTCTTTGTTTATAGTTTTCCAAAATGTGAAATGGTTTATTTTCAATGATTTTATTAAAATATTTTCCTCTTGACTTAGATAGAATTATTTATACTATAAATTAAGCAAACTGCTAGAGTCGGTCAACAATTTTTCTCAAGCACCAAAATAAGTTCCATCTGTATTAACGTGAAGGCATAAAAATTCAATTATAATCAAAACTTGTATTCTATTGGGCCTGACCTAAACCTAAACTATTAGACTGTAAATCTACCAAAATTCATGGCCCATGACAAACCCAAACCTTCAAATTGGGAAACTTCAAAAACATGTGGAATGCCACATATCTAACAAGTGGAATGCCATGTACATTGATAAATATGATAAAAAAAAAAAACTACTACAAATTTAAATATGTAGCATTTATCTTGAGACACTATGGTTCAGGTCTTCCTTCAGCATTTAAATATTTGTGATTGGGGCATGACTTATTTTCTCATCAATTACGTACAAACTATGAAACCTAAGAAAAAAATTTATAGAAAATAAAATTTTCATGTTAGAGATTATGGAAACAAATGTCGTCGTCATTATTCACAATGACAAACCACATCCTTCGTAAGACTTTCTAACACTTGCTAATATCATATTTGCCGCAACACAAATTAATGTTAGTGGTTAAAGTTTCATATTGAACTTTCAATTCTTTACGGGTGGAGATCTGAATTTCTTTAGTTTATCCTTTTTATTTGGTCGACAATCTTCTGAGAGGATGTTGGTGTCTAGGAGTTAGTTGAATAGTTGTAAAGGGAATTTTAAGTGGACTTCTATTAACAACATTTGCTATTGGCACCTCGTAGGTAATAATTTGAATGATACATGTAATTAAAGTAAAATTTAAATATATTTTTGGTTTTTGAAAAACAAATAAATTTTGATTTTGATCTTTATAATTTTTTTTATCTTTCTAAAATTTGCAACTATGTTTTTAATCCTTATTATGATTATTATTATGTAATCATATTTAACTACTTATGTGATTATTTATAAGTTAAGTGACCATTTCATGTTGTATCTATATATTGTATGTGATATTTTGTCCATGTGTGACATCTCCAAAAATAATTTATAGATTCTTAAAACATATGTTATTTATATATCTTAAAATGATAATCAAGAACAAATAACAATGACTTTAAATTTTAGAGGGGTGAAAATAAAATGAAATAAATTACAAGGATCAAAACTAATTTTTATTCATTTTACAAGAATGAAAAACAATGCTTACAAATTTTATAAGGATGAAAAATAAAGAGATGATTTTACAACAACCATAATCAAAACTTGTTCATTTAAAAAAAAATTAAACCTTAAGTAAATAATTCAAATTACTAATTTGAGTTGATGCAATTTATCAGAGATTCACATCATTTAACTAACCAATTGATAAGCTTTGATACAACCAATCTAGCAATCCCAATTTAATAAATTTATTAAAAATTCATTTTTTTTTGTCAAATTGGTTTGAAATGGCTCACTTTTATTTTTTAAAACATTTTATTTATCTCATTTTTGTTTTCTACACAACAATATATGTTTTTTTATACATTTTTTTTATTTCTTTTCATTTAGTCATTTTGTGCATATAAACAAAGTAAGATTTTTTTAATATTGTTTGAAATTAAGCTTTATAAATTTATTAATAAAAATTAAAAATAGTAAAGTATTAAATAAAAAAATAATTAATTAGTTGTAACATCTTTTTAATTTTAAAGACAGTAATTTTGACAATGTAATCTCTTAAAACTCTCTTCTATAATGAAAAATGTCGAAAGCAAAATTAAATTGTTATAAAAAAAATTAAAATGGTAAATAAAATTAGAATGTGATAGTAGATTGGTTTAAATATATACCTCTAATTTTTATAACTATAAATTGTGACAATTCAAAATGTTCAAAATTTAATATAAAATCAAATTTAAAATATTCACACACAAAGATTTTTTTATAAAAGAGTTACGTAATTATTAATTTTTTTCATAATAATAAATAATAATCTTCATAAATAAATAAATAAATAAATGTATATAAATAAAGTAAATACTTATTATAATTAATTTAGAATAAAATAAATATTTTAAAATTGATAATTATTTTATTTAATTAATTAGAAATAATTTTCTTTATGACGAATACCTTTTCGCATTGTAGACCTTAGAACTTTTGTTTTTCTTTCCAAAAAGGTTATTTTCTTTTTAAGAGTTTTTCATAATTTTCTCAAATAAATATTAGTAATGATTTTTTTTCCGTCCCACTACTATTGTGAATAACACAAACAATAACTCATACAACAAAGAAAACAAAAACACGTCTCCTTCTCTCTCTCTCTCTCTCTCTCGTACAAACAACGATGAATTATTCACCTGTTGAAGCACCGCTAGGCACAGCGGCTCTGGCGAAGATTCCATCGCTAAGAGTAACATCAACCTGTGACAGTAACAAACCACATTCAGAATCGATAAACTATAGCTTCGCATAAACAAGTTCCGTCATAAAAAAATGTAGAACGTGAATTAATTTATCTCTCATTTTCCCGCACATTCAGTAACGACAAGCCACATCTCCACATTAACCAGTTCCGAAACAAAAGTAGAACAAAAACCTTTCTATCCAACACTGAAAACAGAACGTGAATTCATTTTCATCTCGTTTTCCCCGCACATTTTCTCAACAATGTCGAAACAGAAACGATAAACCATAGGTTCGCATAAATCAGTTCCGTAACAAAAGTAGAATAAAAAAACCATATCCAACAGTGAGAACAGAAGGTGAAGTCATTTTTGTGTGATTTTCTCAACAGAAAAAGGAAAAGGAGTGAGAGAAGAAAGCGAGGCTCACTTCGACGGTTGGATTCCCACGGCTGTCGAAGATCTGGCGAGCCTTGATGACCTTGATCGTTGCCATTGTCACGAATCGCAGAGTGTCGCTGTGATTTTCCGACCCTTTTTTCTCGTGAAAATGAACAAGGTGGATACAATATATAGTGGGTTGGGACGTGGGCATCACGGAAGAGGC